CTCGACCGCTGGTCTCGAGGATGAGTTTGTCACACCCGGGGTGGTAATTCGACTCTCGCTGAGCTGAGAGCCGAGCTGGTGGCCTGTGATCAATAAAAGTTTACTTGATTTCTCAAAAAACATGAAGGCAGCACAAAATTAGCTCGACCGCTGGTCTCGAGGATGAGTTTGTCACACCCGGGGTGGTAATTCGACTCTCGCTGAGCTGAGAGCCGAGCTGGTGGCCTGTGATCAATAAAAGTTTACTTGATTTCTCAAAAAACATGAAGGCAGCACAAAATTAGCTCGACCGCTGGTCTCGAGGATGAGTTTTTCCGACCCAGGGTCGTAGCTCGACTCGCGCTGAGCTCAGAGCTGAGCTGGTGCCCTGTGATCAATGCAAACTCACTTGATTTCTCAAAAAACATGAAAGCAGCACAAAATTAGCTCGACCGCTGGCCTCGAGGATGAGTTTGTCACACCCGGGGTGGTAATTCGACTCTCGCTGAGCTGAGAGCCGAGCTGGTGGCCTGTGATCAATAAAAGTTTACTTGATTTCTCAAAAAACATGAAAGCAGCACAAAATTAGCTCGACCGCTGGCTTCGAGGATGAGTTTTTCAGACCCAAAGTTGTAATTCGGCTATCGCTGAGCTTAGGGCTGAGCTATGTATTTTTTTCTTTTTTATAGAGCATTCGTTTCCTCTTTATCTTGCATTGCGCCATCTCTTTGATTATTTACGCGCTATTTTTCGTCACGAACCTTAAAAACGCAAGCGATTGTCATTTGCTCTCGTGAGTGCAAGTGCACTCGCGAAAATCCAAACTTTTTTTTCAATTTTCAATTCTATATCTTTGAATGAAAAAGTTATCTTTCGAATCTCATTGGTAGTCATTTGAGAAGGGAAAAAAATGCTCTTTCACATGGCATAAATGAAAATTAGATCCAACCGTTATTTGGCCGAAAAAAAATTTTTATCCAAGAAATATCCAACTTTTGTCAAATCTGACTGCACCATTCGATTCAGGACCCAAAAAAACCTACTAGATAGCAAAGTCATGGCGATTTAGCTTATATTTAAGTTCTCAGGAATTATTGAACATTCTTATTATGTCACACTATATAAGTAAGCGAAATATAATATGGCTCTGGCTGTTCGATACGTAACCATTGCCACCGGGCAATTAGCAATTGTTTTATTGTAAACGACGAATAAGTTTACTGTCGGACGGATACAAATTTATCCACGAAACATTAATATTTATAAATATTTATAAATATTACTTAAAAACTACATTGTGTAATTGCATGAAAAATTGTATTTGTCAGGGAAATCATCACGCTGTTAAAAAAAGAATCAACATGTTAGGAAATGTCCTTCAAAACAAACGAGATAGAATAAACAAGACCTATATTTATTAATGTGAAATATTGAATATATCAAAAATTATCAATATAAAAGATTTACAATGTGTTTGTTTTTTTTTATACAAACATTAGATTCATCATATATAGCAGAGCCGATCATAGAAATGGAAGTTTTAACCAAAATCATGTACGATAAAAAATAAAACTTTGCTGAAAGTAATGACCGATTTATAAAAAATTCATTTCACTAGTAATATAAGAAAAATATACATATATTGTTTTACGTTGATCTCGCTAGAGATTTTTTTTTTTTTTGAAAATTTGAATAAAATCGTCCAAAAGTACATGAAATCCCACCTGGTTCGTGACTAACGTGACGTGGTGCTCTGAATGTGTAAAACCCGGTCGGTTTCCCCGGGGAAGTCGTCCAAGAGTACAAAAGATTAAATTCTCTCTAACGATGTTTACAGAAAGCCCTGCCTTCGGCGAGCCTGAAGCTGTACAAGTGCAGCGACCAGGTCGGCAAGTACAAGGTCGCGGAGGTCAAGAGCGGCCCGGTGTCGCGCAGCGAGCTCGAGTCCGACTCGGTGTTTCTGCTGGAGCGCGGCGAGGCCGGCGTCTGGGCTTGGGTGGGCCGACTGGCCAAGCCCAAGGAGCGCCTCGAGGCGGTGCGCAACGCCCGAGGCTTCGTCAAGAAGAAGGGCTACAGGCCGAGCGTGCCCGTGGCCAGAGCCCTCGAGGGCCACGAGCCCACGGAGCTGCGCTCCTGGTTAAGAATGCAGCAGCAGAGCAGCAGCAGCAGCAGTAACGACAAATCCGTAAGGACGAATCAACAAAGACGCAGACCGCTGGTGCTGCCGGCGAGCTTCGATCCGGACTACATGGCCGAACGCCCGAGGATGGCCGCTGAGTGTCAGCTGGTCGACGACGGCACGTCCCAAGAGCGAAGCCTTTGGGTCGCCGAGGGCAAGACCGGACTGGGTCTGGTCGCCCACGATCGGGCCATTTTTTACGCCGAGTCGTGCTACGTGCTCCGATACAAGTACGGATACGGCAGGCGCGCCAGAACCATAGTTAGTACTGTGCAATCGTTTTGATATAATATGATAGAGAATAGTTACTCGGGACTCTCGAGATTTAAAATTAAAGCATCTTCGAGATCTCCATGTGACAACGTGGAAGCGCGTCTTAAAAATTTACAAAGAAGTTTTTTTTCCAAAATATTCTCGAATGAAAGCACCGCTTAAATTTCCGGTCGATGACCGGAAAATGCTATATTATTAAAACGTAGACCGACTCTTGTCGCTTTCAACTGAGATCATTTCATGGTTTTCAAATCAACGCTTTTCAAAATTTTCTCAAATAAAAAACTATAAGATCGATGATCGTTCACGGAAACGCATATCCGGAGTAATCTACCGATCGATCGAAGCTATTAATCATTTTATCATCTTGCGGGATACGCGTCACACTAGCTTTCACAAACATTTACGCCTGCAAAAATTTTATGTATGCATTCATCAATATCCATCGCAGATTTACTGCTGGGAGGGAGCACAGTCGAGCTGCACAGATCGGGAGGCTGCCCTGGAAGCTGCCTGTCTGCTGGCCGAACAGGACTCGGCCCAGTTGGTCAGGACGGCCCAAGGCCAAGAGCCGGCCCATCTGTTGCAGATCTTCGCCGGCAAGCTCATCATTCTATCCGGACATCGTAGCAACAATCGTGAGTACATCTCTTTGCTCGTGCACACAAGCGGCAAATCAATGATAATCAAACAGGCATACGAGAAAAAATCCAATTTCAGAGACTCGAACCTATAGTTTTTCTAGATTTGCTTACTTTTAAAGTCGTTTCGACCGTCTCTACGAAGACAAACTCACATAGGAGTGCAGTTTTAAATATTTCTCTTAAGATGATGCAGTGAAAGAATCTTTTTTTAAAGGGTGATTTTTTCCGCATTTTCGAAAAAGAAAATTTTTTATGTTCGAAAGATCTTTTTTTCATAGTCCTCTTAGAGGCAGTAAATTTGACGATGAAAATGAGAAAAATTTGTTTAAAAATCTGAAAGTACGTATACCTAGGTTTTTGAAGATGTCGAATTCAAATCCGAAATCAGATCATCGACCGTCCAACGAAGATGATCTTTCTCGTTGGAGGATGGTCAAAAAAATCTCTAATTCAAAATCTCCCTTAAAAATTTATGCAAGTTTTAATTAGAAATTAATCTTAAATAATAAAATTAATCATAAATAAAGTTTCTGAAGGGGGGATCTTTTATTTCATGTTTTTGAATCGCGTTTTTAATGATGGTTATTAGAGGAATCAAACATAAAGAATTAAATATAAATCACAAGTCAACCATGAAAAAAATAATCAAAGATATTTTCTGACGTAATATTTTCTTCTCTTTGGAAAGCTTCAATAGAGAATTTGAGCTCTAGTTTGAAAAATCAATTTTTAATTCAATGTAGCTCTGAAGTTGCATTGAGGTCAAATCGAAGGTCACCGTTGAGTTCCTCGGCAAAAATTACGTCAGACATGTTAGGTCCGGTCTCCGGAACTGAACTTTATATGTTTCCTTCTGTGTGCCTGTATAATATTTAATTAGACGACGATAACGAATAATCCGATTTAATCGCAGCTCCGAAAAAGTATCTGGTGCGCGTGTACGGCTCGACGCCCTACACGTCCAAGGCCGTGGAGCGGCCACTGCGCGCGAGCAGCCTCGATTCCAGCGGCGTCTTCATCCTCTTCTCGGCGAGCTTCGGCGGGGGAGGCGGGGGTGGCTGCGTCTGGTGCGGCTCGCGCAGCACCGGCGACGCTCGCGAGGCCTCGCGCCGCCTCGCCCCGGCCAATGCCCCGCTGGTGCGCGAGGGCAGCGAGGAGCCCGAGTTCTGGGCCCAGCTGGGCGGCGGCGGCGGCACCAACACCTCGCCCGGTGGCACCGGCATGACGATGGACTGCCTCGAGTACCAGGAGGAGCCCGAACTGGAGCCGCATCTCTATCATCTGCGAGTGGAGAAGGACGTGTTCGTCGGCGAGGAGATACTGGGCTTCGGCCAAGCCCAGCTGCTGCCCGAAGCCGCCTGGCTGCTCGAGGCGGCCAACTGCGTCTGGGTCTGGATTGGCGATTACGCGGCCCCCAAGCCCCTCAAGGAGTACGTCGAAGAGGCCAAGATCTATCTCTACACGCATCCGGCCGCTCGGGATCGCAATACCGTCATTTCCGTCGTGAGGCAAGGTCCGTTCGAGAGTTTAATTTACGCTTTTAATTCTTAAAATATAAATTACGATGTCTCGTATCGTTACCGATTTTTTTTCACGCGCAGGCCTGGAGCCGCCGACTTTCATTGGACTCTTCGACAATTGGAATCACAATCTGCTGAGGGACTACAGATCGTTCGAGTCGCTTCAATCGAATTACCAGGAACAAGACCCAACGATCGTCAACGACATAATGTCGATCAAGCTCGAGTCCGACTTCAGCAATTACGTCAAGTACCCGATGAAGATTTTGAAGAGCGACCCCGACAAGCTGCCCGCCGGCGTCGACGTGTCGAGAAAGGAGATGCACCTGACCTTCGACGACTTCAGAGCCGTCTTTAAGATGGAGCCAACGGAATTCGAGAAATTGCCGGCTTGGCGCAGACAGCGTCTCAAACAGACTGCTGGGCTTTTTTAAAACGAAAACGAGAAACTTAATTTGTCCACTACGTTGTGATTGTATCAAGTCTTGTAGAGAATGATGAACCAAATGACATATCCTATATATTCATTGTTTAGAGAATAAAAACGTAATTTTATTTTTTCTTTAATGTACCATGAAAAAAACTTGATTTTATTTTAATAATTAGCGTAGAGTAATAAACAATTAATTATTTTGAAGAAAATAAAATTTTTCAAGATGAAGTGTCCATTGATTCGTGATCGACTCGTTGAATCATTTCATCCTCGATAATAATTGGTCTGACTGACTTCTGAAGAATGGCAGTTGTACCACGTTTGTAACGATAAGTTCCTTGCTTCTCTCCCTTTTTACATGACATCTCGTAAGGTCTAAGATAATCTACAGATCCTTTGCGAATAACGCACAGGTCAACGCTGCTTCCTGATCCAAGATCATTGAAAACACCAGCACGAATGGCGTCTGCTACCAGTTCTTTGCCTTCCTCCTCCTAAAATTTAAGTCAGCTGTAGTATTTAATTTGAAAAAAAGAATAAATTATTTTTTCAATGTCAACATACACTCATATTTGGTCTCCACTGGCTTTCAAAAACTGACATAGCTGCTAAAGATCCAGATCCCATAGTTGTATATTGTAGAGAATCACAGGATCCGTGGGGATAAATACAATAAACGTGAGGGCCTGCATTATCAACACCACCAACAATCAACGCAGCTCCAATATGTCCTTGATAACGGAAGAGCATTTGGCTCAACATTTTAGCAGCTGTTACAACTGGAACAACTCTGTTGGTATTAAGACGATGGAGTTCTAATTGACTTGAAATCATGTTAGTTGTTGCCTCTGTATCTGCAGCTGTACCAGCACCGCAGCAACTGTTTACACGAGAAAGAACATTATTAGGCATTTCATTGAATTTTCCTAACTATTTAATGAAAATATCATGTTACTTACTACATATTATCAGCTAAGAAATGGATTTTACTGCAAAGTTTGTCTGCAACGATGTTGCCTTCAGTAGCTCTTGTGTCAGCACCAAGAATAACACCATCTTTATAAACAATAGCAACAATCGTTGTGCCAGTTTTTTGTGCTTTGGGAGCTGGATATCCCTTTTTCTCCAATAGGGAATTCCTGAAATGTTTTCAATGTTTTGACATTACTATTTAAAAACATTAAAATGACACAGCACTATTGGTTCAAATGAGGTTAGACGACAGTTACTTTACGAAAATCTGGGACGGATAAAATTGCAAATATAATTTACCTTTGACATAAATCAAAAGAAAATCCAGGAGCTGGAATATCCGGGACTAAGATGGACGACATTTTCTTCTATTGCGAATGAAAATGATTGACAATGGTACACTTTGCTTTCCTAACAATTATGCGGCAACACAAACGCCGTTCAGCAAATTTGCCGAATATCAGCAGTCAACAACAAAGTGTGTTTTAGCGCTGGAGAGGCAACCACGCAGTCGCAGTGGCGCCACAATTTGAAACGAGTAGTAAACTCACTACGCATAGTAGCATACATCAAACGCTCACATGATAAAAGGCAATACTTTTAGTGTGTGTGGGAAAGTGACGAGAAAAATATCTTCAAGTCATTAATTTTTCATGAATTGATTTTTTTTATTATATTCACATCGGAGTAATATAATACGTAATTTTATATTGATAAAAAACCATTAATCAATAAAACTGAATCATTATGTTTCAGTCTGAAAATAATATATTTACAATTTTTATATCATTGTGGTAAATCTTGATTTTCAATTATCTAATCCGTACTTTTATATATAATTAGTAAGAGCACTAACAAGGCACTTATTTCGTTATTTAATTATTATACATAAGTATCAATAGCTGAATACTAATTATTTTTACCAAAACAAGTCACAACAAACGGTAAAAGTACTTGAGCTATACATGCACACTAAAACTTTGATAAAACTTATAACTACATAACTTTGTACATAAGACACATTCAGTAGTGAATATCATTGGATTTCTTCATCTCTAGTTACAAATTATTGAAAATTGTTCATCTTGACAATTGTAACTAAAGTGTCATTTATCTACTTAATAAAAATATATATTCTTGACTCCTAGTAACTTAAATTAGACAATATTTAAGTTCATATACATTATAACAATCATCAAACAGAACCACTTCAACAAATTATTTACAAGCATGATACATCATTAATGATGTCTGAAGAGAGTACTTTGTCTTGCAAAGCAGAGGTAAGAAGTTCTTGATCCCATTCTAAGCTAACTTTTGACAGACGAGCTTCTTTCTTTGATATGATTTTTACAATGCCTCGAGTTTCAATTAGTGAACATAAGCTAACAAATTCTGACATGTCAAGTTTGTTGATCTTCCTTTTTTCGCATACTTTTCTGTAGACTTGATGTAGCTGTAAAAAATAAGTTTTGCTTTTATAATTTCAATAAGATATTTAAGAAAAATGAATCATGGAAATAAATGTTTTTACCATTCCAACTGTAACATTTTTGTTCCTTCCTCTGTTTAAAATAAGCATCAATGAGCACAGAAGGAGTTTCTGTTGCAATGGAAATTCATTTTCAGCTTTATCAACATTTTGTGAGCCTCCATATACTCCATTAAGAACTGACCTTACTTCTTGAAAATCTACTTTCCTAATTGCATCATCTCCATTTTTATTGTTATCGTCAGAGTTACTGTCTGTAATGCAAAAGTAGTTATGCAACAAATCAAAAATTTTAATTTAACAGAATGATGAAATCATTTAAAAATTTGCTAATGACACTTACTTTGAGTAGATTGCAACATCTTTTGAGACTCAGCAATTTCAATAACTCTTCTGCCAATATCCAAAGCTTTACGTATATCACCTGATACTGCTGCAACTTTACCTGACAAAAGTTGCATAGCAGTACTTGTAAAAATATCTAAAACATTAGCTTCTTTGAGACGTTCAGTAATAATTTCCATAATTTGCTGTTTTGTATATGGTTTGAAGTGTAGCAAAGTTGGTTTTAGTTCACATCTTGCCTGCAATCTAGGTAAAATTCTGTCAGTCAAATCCAAAGCATTGGCTATTCCTACTAATATTAATTTAGTGTCTGGAATTGATGGCCATTCAAAAATAGAGTAAAGTACTGCTTGATTTTTACTCTCCAATTGGTCCATTTCATCTAACACTAATAAAAGCATTTTATGTGCTCCCTTCAAATACTTTTCAATCACAGATTTATTACTTTTACTAGACTTTGGTTTCTCTATTCCCAATTCTTCTATAATTGCAGAATAAATAGCAGCTGCAGATTTCATCGAAGTACAGTTGACATAAACTATTTGAAATGCTTTTTTGAATTTTGGTTTCAACATAATCTTGGACAGGCAAGCAGTTTTACCAGTACCAGGTGGTCCTGATACATACAACGATGCAGATGATTGATTTGTCATATGTGTGTCAATGAAGTTTTCAAGTTCAGTCATTTCTGTATCTCTACCAATCAAGTTTTCTGGTAGAGTACTGTGCAATGCTTTCCTAGCCTCGCTATATTTATTGGAGAATAATTTCTTTGGTGCTAATTTCTCTTGCTTGAGAATACCCGGGCTAGCGGTCATGGGTGATAACAAAGTCAATTTGTCTAATAAAGTACTAGGTGTTTTTGGAGTGAATGTAACTTTTTTCTGTTTGGGAGGTGATGCCTCACTGCAAACTGAAACATTAAAAACGAAAAAAAATGAAGCGACTATAACACTCAACAACTCAACAATTGAATTTTAATTTATAATTAAAAATCGATTTGAGTTAAAAAAACAATTACGCTCATACCATTTGAAGAGTCTTGTTTTCTCTTCGGAGTTCTGAAATTGGAATTGACGTTCTCGTCCTCGGAATCCGACGACGACTCGGACTCGCTGATGTCAACAATTTTCTTGACTGTCGGCGTGTACCTCGACGGCGTCTTCGAAAGCGGAATGGTGGTGTATTCCACCTTGGGCGACTCCTTGATACCGTAAAAGTTTTTCCTGATAGGAAAGGACAGCGAGGTTTGAAGGCTCATTTTGGCGACGTCGAAACCGAAGAAATCAAAAGACGGAAAAACGCTGGCTACGAGTTCGAACTTGACTCAAGCGATACGTATGTGTATTTAATGACAGGCCTGATATGGAACGCGAGAGACACGTTAAAGAGCGAGCGATATTTTTATAACGACTCCGCCGTGTGATGGTGCTATGCCGCGACTGGCCCCGTGGTCTCGCCTAATAATAATTTCGCGGCAGGCACCGAGCGCGTTCATCGCCGGGGTCTCTTTAATCGCGCGGGAAATTGTGTTGTATATACAACATTGGCGCGCAACAGGCGCAGCAGCGGCGTCAGCGTCAGCGATAAACATTGAAATTTTGGAGGGACTGCTATATGCTGTTCTCTCAGGTGCGCGCACGTTCGAAGCGGCTGCGCGCGAGCCGTTCCCGGGTAGAGGTAGGGAGAGAGAGAGCAAAAAAAGCGCGCTTGCAACAGCTGGCGATAGAGTGATGATCGTTTATCGTACGGCATCTATGGACGTGACGTCACGGAGGTCCTACTACCACAAACTCACGGCACATGGATATTGCTGCGTGCATAAATGTGTGAGAGAAAGTGAAACGTGACCGTCAACGAGAGCGATGATAGTCCATATACGGCTTTTTTACGTAAGATATTTTGTGTCTCGGAGATGAACGACCTGGAAACTAATCGTCGTGGCCGACTATCGTTCCGTCTCTGTTGCACTTGTTGCTAAGAACTGACTCGGCATTTTTCACTTAAATGCCAACGAGGCTCGACTGTTTCGAGTCTGAACGATAAATAAATCGTTATTGTTTATAAAAAATGAATGGGATGCAGCATTGGTCAATTCGTTTCTGTATTATAAAGATACAGTTCGAAAAAATGAAATGCGCTGATGCTTTCTAACATGATATTTATACAACTCAAATGTACGATGGAAAACGCTTATCTAAAAAAAAAGGATTTATCATATAATCACGAATTTAACGAAGTTATACCTAGAGAAAACTATAACTCCAATCGTGAGATAAAGCATAGAAAGTTTAGATGTTTTTTGTGTCGCTATACACGTATCTTCGGTGCCACGAGTACAAGATGCTACATGTGTAGCAATCAGCTCGAAATGATGGGAAAAAAATATGATTGAAAATTTATCATAATCCAATGCATAAAAGTTTAATATCACAAGGTTTTTCAGCGGGTAGAATGAGCTTATTCGTTATAACAATAACAATGCGATAAATAAAGAATGCTGAACATTTATTATCATTATTCCATAGTTTTTCAATTACTCCAAACTTGCTCGAGCTCAAAACCTATATTTATCATGTATACTGATTGATCTAAAAATGATCCGATAGTTCGAGTAGATATGACAGTGAAGTCGATTTTTGAAATGCAATGTTTAAAGCAGCGAATAATGCGAATATTGAAAATTAAACATAACTTTTTTTATTTTTTTTTTTTTTTTTTGATACGGTACTAAACCACCACGTGTTTGCTACACCGCTACGAAATTGGAAGTCGTTCTTACCGACATGTACGTATCCGCATAAAAAAATAATATATTCACGATTAACTAAAAAGAAGGACCATTGCGACAATCGCGAGCGATACGTATTTATAATTCACACAAGTGGATGTTTGCATGAAAATTTTCAGTGGGCTATTTTTGCTGAAACTCATGAAATTGCTCCGTTTTTTCGTTTTTAAGCTGTGCCTTTTTATTTAAATAATCGTGAATCCTGATTGCATAATTGTTCGAGAGTTAATAGTTTTATAAAGATTTGCAATGAAATTCTGCGAAATGATTTATTATAGAGAAAAAAAGAATTTAATAAATTTTATTAAAAATTGTGCAAAAGAAGGCTTTCTTTTTCCGAAAAAAAAATTATCTAAACTGGATTGGATATAAGGGCTTGAACTAATTCTCTAATGATAGCTCTATAGTTTAGTTTTTTAACTAATTCCACGTTAAAAAATAAAAAATCTCACCGAGAGTCAGAGAATTAAATTTCAAATTTTGTTCCCAACGCTACAGGCACATACGAAACTCGATGCGATCCTCGCCGTGGCGCTGCATATAGCGTTCGTGAGGCCGAAAGAAAAAAGAACATCCTCACCGCGAGAAAGATTAATTTTGTATCTTTTTCGGCAAACTTTATTGAAAATAAAAAAAAATCGCAAGTCACGCAATGGAGTATTCATCGAGGAAGTAATCTCGAGATGCTTCCAAGTAATTAGCGCATTCAAAACGTTAAAAATTGTCGCTCGATCGTTTCTCCCGACTCGTCGAATTCAATTTTCGCGGCGAGAGTCCCTCTGCTGGAGATCTCCGTGAAATTCTCGGGCTCGTGCGCGAGTTGCACTTTTCGTGCACGGTGGCGTTCCGGCCGGCTAAGGTGCCTCCGCGACCAGGGTTGCTCTTTCATATTGGTCTCAGCAGCGAACAGTAAAAGTCGACTCTAATCGGCTTGAATCTTGACCTCTAGGTAAAACTAGAGATCTTGAAAACTTCGAAATGAGAGCAAAGGTATTAATTCACACTCCTATCACATTATTTCTGCTTTAGAATTCCATTTTTATTATAAATATCACGCGTTTTATTTCAACAATTTTTAACGTTAACATCATAACCTTCTTGAACTCTCTATCCGCGCCCGGAATAGCTGCAGCTCCTCCACGTGCTCGCCTTATTTTAGCTCTTAACGATTAAATTCACTGCTAATTCATTGTAACAGCGATAAATTCTTATTTAAAATCATTCAATTGAATTATAAATTTACGATTAAGTGTACATTCAATGCTGATCGAATTTTCGCAATTACACGTGGTCGATTCCATCATGGAGGCGTTGCAGCAGCGTCGCCTGTAAAACGTATCTTTGTCGAAGTATATTCGCAATATCTAATCCAACATTTTTTTTGTATAATTCCAGTGGCGTAAGAAGAGGATGCGCAGGCTAAAGCGTAAGAGGAGGAAGATGCGTGCGAGGTCCAAGTAGATTTCCACCATCGATAATAACTGTAAGTATTTCATTTTAAACGCACATACATTTTCACATTTCTTCGGAGGCAAATTGAAATCTATTACAAAGTTCATCTATTTCTTCATGAAAATAGACTGCTCGGCGCTTGAAATAGTAGTAATGCTTTTCTTTACAATGAATTCATTGAATGAAGATGCTAAAGCCTTTATTAGTTAAATTGCATTAAAGTGCACTTAATTTTGCTCTACTCTTCTGAATAAGAATAAGAATTATATTCAATTAAATTTTCATACATGTGATCATTACCTATTCAATATTTAAACTTTACTTATGTGAAAGAGTTTTAGTGCATACTTGATGCTATGAAAATCATTAGCATCTTATACCATAAAAAATTTGTGAAATAGATTTATCAATGTTGTTTTTTCTTTCTGTTTCAGCTATGCGTCTGACAAAATGAGGATATCCTTGCTACCAAGTTTGGCTGTATCATCAACTTTTGTACTTCCTGGACATTAAACTACATAGAGTTATTCACATTTATAAAATTTCATCTTGCTGAGTTTAATAAAACAACAATGATGAATCATAAAACATGGCTTATACTTTAACCTATTCCCACATTATTTGATAAAGAAATATAAAAATATTATAACGTCATTTAAAGCTCATAACTGCAAAGAACAATGCATGAGGTGGCTCATCACCAAGCTAAAAAATATACTTGACTTAGAATCTCTAGTAAACTTGACTTCATAAAGTACTTATAGTAACTTACAACTTGCTACAACTATTGAAGAAATGGAATATAATTGTGACTGTTAATTAACATTTGAAAGAGATGAATTCTTAACATAGCTTCATGAAGCACTTTTGACTAACTCAGGACTTGCTGTAATTATTGTAAAGAAAAAACTATCAATTTTTAAAAGACTTCTACTTACTAACACTTAAGAGCAAATTTGTGAAAGAGATATTTAGCTGAGCCTGTATTCTCACTCAAGGCAGTCTATAATGAAAACTTACATGTACATAGTAACAATTGGATCATAATCATTATTAAAAATAGAAAAGCATTTGTTATTAGAAATTACGTGCATCATTTGTACCACGTGTAGTCGAAAAAGGAATCATGCACACTCGAGTCTAAGCTATCGTGTGCTATGTACCACATAAATATGTTGATCCCTGCAACACGTTTTGTTGTTAATTCGGTAAAAACACTGCGTACGTCGCACGCGTGTAGGTGCAAATTCACGAAAAATGTTTATTCGTCAACGAGCAGATTCATGTCGGATAGCAAATCGAGTAACATCGTTGAAAAACCAGAAGAAAACGATCGGTCAGAGCAGAAAGACGAGCATAACCCCTCGTCTGTCTTCGATAGTAAATACAAGGTATTTCACGACGCAGATTCGCAGGTAATCTTTGACGTTAGCGAAGAAAAAAAACGAATAGATTTAGGAGACTTAATCGAGGAACAAGCTGAATATGATCCCTTTCAAGGAATCAACTTAGAGCGTAAATAATTTTTATTTCACATTATTAATCAGGAGTTACACATTGAGTTAATTGACAATTGCTTTTTCTTGTATGATATGTCATCAACAGGAGGTGTAAATGGAGTTTTTGAGCTGGATGATCTCATTGAATTATTGAAGAAAGACAATGCCAAACAAATTTTTGTTGCTTCGGTTCCTCCAGAATTATCTTATGTTGATTACATTGTTGTTGTGACGGGCAAATCACCAAGACACATTCAAGCCTTAGCAACATTTGTACGCAAAATATTCAAACTCAAGAAACATAAGACTGATGTATTACCAAAAATTGAGGGAGAAAAGTCAAAAGAATGGCAGGCATTGGACTTAGGTAATTTAAAAATATAATATATTCTGTATAGTGATAATTGCACCTTGTTGAATAATCATTTGTTTGATACTTATATAAATTTAACACTGATTGTTTAATGACTGAATTCTGTGTTAATTACAGGAAATATTGCCCTACATATTTTCTCTGCAGAAGAAAGAGTGAAATATGATTTAGAAACACTTTGGTCGGTAGGATCTCAGTATGATGATTTGAGCAATGCCAAGGATGATGAGTCAGATATCATGCAAAGATATAACGCCTTCTTAAAAGACTTTCAACCAGCAGAATAAATGTGTTGTACTGACACTAGATTATGCATGTAAATATTTTGTAAATGTACTAGGAAGTTGTAAATATTTCATAAATTAAAATAACATTTTTCAACAAAAAGTCAAGGAGCAAGTTGTTTCTGCATGAGTAAAATGTTAACTGAACTAACATGTGTATAAAAATGCTTAATATCTGCCTAATCTAAAATTTATTGAATTAAAACATAAACAGGCTCCTAAATTTTATGAAATATATTATCATTCATATTTTCTTTATATTCTATTCTAAACAATAACTTTGACTCACTGACGTAGTACCATCAATCAATAAATATGAAACAATTGGAAATCCAAAAAAATTGTTATCTGCTAACATCGATTTCGCAACTGTCTCGTAATATTAAAACCGGACTTGTGAGATAAGGAGTTCGATTAATATTGAATATCTTCATATGTACGGATGATCTAAACGGAACATGAAAAAAAGGTTTAATACACCGACTATCGAAGTTCAAAAATCTATGTGTACTACAGAAGGACTGCACGAGTACAGGCGTCAATTCGTTGAACCGCAGAGACCAGCTGGCTTTTTCTTTCATTACCTTTTTTAAATCATAGTATTCCTATAAATGAATCAAACGCGATGATCTGGTTTGCGATCCGCGAAGCCAAAATTTATCCGCACGAACATTTCGCATTTACTCAATACGGAATCGAGATATTACAGGCATAAAATACGGAAAAGCTTTATTGTCTTGCATACATAATAGGATAATGTCTATGAAAGCAGCCTTTCGAGCTTTTGCATATAAGCTCCATATAAAATCAATTGAAAAAGCTGGACTCGCGATGAATCTTAAAAAGCCACTTGTGCGCTTTTTAAATTTCGAACGATGTCTTGTGTCAAATTCAAGCGCTCCGCCTTTTTGGAAACGCATATATATGATAGCCATTGCTATACACGTCACGTATATATTTTTTAATACGCTGCTCAAAACCGTTTTCATTCCATACATGGTAAAGTCATCAGTTTGTACAGTTCAGTGCGGCGTTTGACATCGTCTGTGTTTCCAGTATCGCAGTGTTTCAACCACGAATTCAGTCGTAGATTTGAAGTTTATATCACATAAGTCAATTAATACATCGTTGTCTCCCATCATGGCTTCGGAATACGAAAATTGCAAGTACGCGTGGGCATGGAAACTAATAAATAGGATGCCCAGATTTAAATTTGAGCCAGGTACTACGGATCAGCGTGCCAACTATGACGACATACTCCAGGAGAACATTTTGAACATGCGCAGGATTGTTTTACACGGTACCGTTTTCGCAGATAAATTTTTGACTCACAGTCGTGGAAGGAAGTTTTTGCGCACGCAACATGAATGGCAAGGCTCCAGCGATGAGTATAATAACCCTTGGTTTTATGTGTATGGACCCATGCGCAAGGATGGTACCGTTTATAACAAAAAAGAAATGTTTTGTAACAATGTATATGCGGCTGGATATGAATTACCTTCGAAAAAATCAGTATTCAAAATTAATACCCTATACAAGCGCAACGGTACAATTATCCAAATAATTTACGTCAATGACGTCAAGATCGGAAGGTGGGAGTGCTCGTCGCTGTACTTTGCCGCCCAATACAGGCACATTGGTATGATAAAAATTTTATTAGAAAACGAGTCCGATCCGAATCAGCTGGATTACAAGAAATCGACTCCTCTGCACGCGCTGGCTCAACTGTGCCCGTGTGAATGCGGCACGAGAAACCATTTCTGTGGTTACAGAAAACCAGTCGATGAAATTGTTAAAATTCTCGTTGAAAAAGGAGCCAACATCGAAGCACGTAACGAGGACGGAGATACTCCTTTGAGTTTGGCTGTAAGACGTTTCGACTTTGGACTCACAAAGGCACTTCTCAATCATGGCGCTAGTCTCGACAGTTTAAATGAAGATACAATGTTCAGCTGGAATTTCACACAATTAGAATTGAAAAACTATCCTTTGACTTTGAACATTATCAATGTGATGCAATTATTGCAGTCGGTTGGCTACGAAGTGAACCTGCACACTAGAACCAGGATGCTAAAATTTTGGCTGAAAGTACGAGGAAACGATACGGAACATTTAATTCCTTACGGCACAGAAAAAACGGAAAGCGCTACATACAAGGAAATTGTGGATCAAATATACATTTATAAAAAATTTGGTTTTTTCATGAAACAAGAAGCTATCGATTACTTGCATGAACAACGAGAAAAGTTGAGGGGGAAAATTCCACTGAACTTAGTCAATTATAAACCCAGTCCATCGATGGCGATTCAAGTTGCCAAGTTACATTACGACACGAAGATCAACGACGACATCTCGCTCTATCAAGTTTGCCAAACGAGTCACGACAAGGCTCACTCGATTTTGAAGAACATTAAAAATTGGCGTATACCATCGCTGGACGGCTTGGAGCACAGCTCCATAAGTCTCGTGGTAAAAAGACACCTGGCCAACATTTTGATAAGGCCACATCTGGAATTATTCGCAGCCGAATTGTTCATGTTGGATTATTGTAAATTGAACGGGCCGTACAATTTTGGCCAAAAATTTCTCGATATGAGTCACGAGGATCTTGTTCATCTTTGCGAACAAACAAACGAAGAAAGTCTTAGAAGGCGATCGCCTAGTCTCTGTGGTTTTTGCAAAATGGAACCCTGCAAGCACTCGTGCATTGTATATTTTAGAAAAATTATTGAACACTGCAAGCCCTCGTGCATTGTATATTTTAGAAAAATCATTGAATATTTAATTATGATTTCGTTAACGTGCATTTTTCTTATTTTATTCATGAATATTGATAGATTTATCAATATTTTTCTTTCTAATTTTATCACAACAAGACAATAAAATTATTTTAGTTTAAAAAAAGGAAGATTTTTATTTCATCAATGACGTAGTAAAGGCGCCAAACTCTCCTGGTTGTGTTTTGATTCTTGGCCTGTTTGCAATATAAACAAGTATACGTGGAAAAAAATGCAGCAGTGTCGTCGGGATACTCGTAATTCGTTAAACTGGCCTCGGTATCGACATCCAAGCTTGCAGATAAGCTGAGAGAAAACTGAAAAATTTATTGAAATTGAATTGATCGATTCTTGGAATTAAACATAATAATGAATAGAATCAAAAAAACTATAATTTCGGCACGTCAAAAAATTCGATTCACGCAACCTTCTTCATATATGCGATTTTCTAATTTAAAAAGAATAGGCCTTTAACGAAAAAAAAAAAATACAAAAAAAAATAGATTTAAAAGTAGTAAAAGAGTACTTGAAAATTTTGAAAAACTTTTCGAATTGGAGATCCAGCTCAAACGACAGATTTTTATTAGAAACATGGGTTTTTTTTTGCTTCAAAACTTATAGTATTGTCGAAAAAAATTCGAAAAAAATGTTCGATGGTGAATCAACGGAGTCGAATCGCCCTGAAAAAAAATTGTTCGTTTTGGACTGGTTTGTCGGCTCTATATACACACACTCTAACGCATCTTCTGCCAAAAATCGAATCGAATTTTCAATAATTTTACTTGAAACCTTGTAGCATCCAAAAAAGGTTGAACGATTCCAGGGCTTTGAGGACTGTTGCACGATAACTATGCGGTTTATTTTCGGGATTTTCAAGTCAAAAACGGCTTCGGAGTCGATTTTAACATTAAAAAGAACACGACAACTATAATAGTTTTCTGGATCAAAATCTGAGGAACTCATCGTGGGCGGCGCCCGATTATTTTAAAAATTCCAAGCGATTCATATATACATCATACTATACATTCAAATTTAAAAAGACTCATCAAGAAGCGTAAGTACGTCACACACAGGTTCTCGTTACAACGTACTCAATAATTGCGTCCGACAGGTAGAGGTATAGGCCGCTCGAGATCGCGTACGTCAGATTACATTATGCTACGTTTTCGTAAGTCCTGCACGCACACACAGACACACACATGTACGTATAAGATAAGTACGCGTGTAGCGCAGTTCGCGTCACGAGCCACGAAGCGATTTAATCGCGAATATACCTACGTATACAATATTCGCGCTAATATTAACATCGAGGTGTATGTGTACGCGCGCGGGGGAGTGACTCCGTACGCGGAGCTACGAGCTAACAACAACAACAACAACAATAAGAATCAACGTATGGAGCGCGCGGCGCGACGCCGCTCACGCCCACGCAACACCATACGTAGTATATATAGTATATATAACGCATCTGTGCAGTGTGCATTATTATAACAGTGCGCGCGGCTCGTTTCGCGGGAGAGGAGTCGCGGGGCCACCACTCTCTGGCAGCTCCGTTTTTTCTTTATAATTTATATATTTACAGCGGGGGCATTACGGGCTTCTTTTTCGCTCTTTATTATCGACGCGATGAATCTTCGAAAGCGCGCACGGTCATAATTGTTCGACTTAATTGCCCCGTTTTGCACTTCCTCTCTCTCTCTCTCTCTCGATCCGCAGCAGAAGTGCATCGGGACTGCGTGTATGTGTGTACGTGTGCGCGTGTGTGTATAATACAGGTGTATTCATCGACTCTTGCCCCCCGCGAGAACGAGTCGAATCTATACTATACATATACAGCAATTGTTGTTCGACCGCGATGCTATCCTTCTTCTACAGTATATACCACCCGCAGCAGTAGCAGCAGCAACAGTAGCAGCAGCTCCGATGTTCGCGCGACTACACTCCGCCGCGGCGCCGCGTCATTTTCCAATAAAAAAAAAAGGCAGTACAAAGCCGCTGTATATATCATTGGTACTTTAACGCACACTAGCTATATATAGGCAGTGTTCGCGTACAGTGCGGCGCGGCGGCTCGCGGTCGAATCGCGCGTCCTCGACTCGTTTCTTCTCTCTATTATAAATCAAACGAACTGATTGTTTGTTGTTTAACTGTGCGAAAACAAAACTTCTGCGCCCGCGATCACTGTGTGTGTGTTATGTGATCGACCGGACAAAACTCATTACCTGGTATTTTTTTTTCTGTTTTTTTTCTCTCTCTCTCTCTCTCATTCAACGCCGCGCGGCTCACAGGTGAAACGAGTGCCTCGTTCAGTCAGTCCTTTGCCTCCAATTAAGCGTTATATAGGCTCGGTCGTCGCGATCAGATTGTTGTATTAAAAAAGAGGCCGTACGAACGCGCTCGCGGTGTGTGCTCGTTTTCAGCAAAGTTTGACCATAATACAGCACGGCGCGAGTAAAAAGTTTTTTTATCCGTGACGTGATATTTTTCATATTTTAACGAACGAAGCAAAAAATTGACTGAAATTTAAATTTTCCCGATCTCGAGAAACACGATAAGACTGATAACGAGCGTGAGTCACATATAGCAAGACGTATCTAGCATAGCTATATAAGAAAATATGAGTGACTAATAATACATATCTGTGGGCTGTATTATTGAATCGTTGCAAAAATATTCACGAGCACCAGAGAATTGTGCAACTGTGCGTGTGATTGTTTTTAAAACTTGTGGGCAAAAAAAAAAAAACAAGAAACCTTGAAAACCGCAAAATGGCTCAGGCAATCGACGATCCGTGCGAAAAAGAATCAAACAAATTTCTAAAAGTGCCTCCGAAGTCGACGCGGCAGATCTATTTGTTGTTCTTGATACCGGCTATTCTGAACTGCGCCGTCTACGTCGTAAACTTCTCCGCGGATCTGGTGGTCGCGGTGCAACACTTCAAAGAGCGCAATCCAGAATGGGGTCTGATCACGATGACTTTTATGTTCATTCCCGCGTTCGCCTACTTCGTGCTGACGGTTACGAGGCCGGGCTGGTGGATGACCGAAGACGATAAACAAAATAAAGGAGGATGCCTTTGGTTCGCGCTGCAAGTCGTCAAACTCGCGGCGTTTCCACTTTTCGCGCTCTACAGGTAAGCCGTCGATGCAGTTTTTAGTCGATTCGAATCTCATCGACGATTCGTCGAATTTTAATTTTCATATTTCGATAGATATGCCGGTCTAATCGTATTATCAGTGGACGCAACGTTACTGACTGGCGACAAGAGGAAAAAAACTTTGGAAACTGCTTGTGCACCGGCAGCAATTGAATTGTATTTTTTCCTGCAAGCTTGGTTCCAGGCAGCTCCTCAGGCAGTGTTTCAGGCACACTTGCTGTTCAACGAAGCTGATACAATTCGAACAAATCAGTCAGGTACTTTGATTTTCCTAGATCAATACAAAAGTCATTAACAACAAGATTATTTTATTAATACTAACTATATATTTATTTTTAGTGGCTGTTCAAATTTTATGTATTATAATGTCGGTAATTGTGATAGCTATAAAAATCACATCGTTTCAAAGGTATGAAAGTCAAAGAATGAAAGGCAGAAAAGTACCTTGGGCAACATGGTTCAAAAAGTATAAAACTCAGGTAAAAAACTTTGCAAATTCCATCAAACACAACATCAAATGTCTTTCTTGAATTAATAAAATCTTGTTTTGCAGGAGCTGGAAAATATTGAAAAAAAGCAATTACTTAACAAGCCACAGACTAAAGAGGCTCAAGAATCAGTAAAAAATACTGAAGAAAAACAAGAAAAAGTTGAAACTCCTCCTTTACCTCCAAAAAATATTAAGATAATTGCACCACCCACTCCTCTCAGAGTCACAACGCTTACCCCCCTAGCTGTACCAGATATGCCAGCTCCACCAAGACCAGATTCCATTATAACTGTTCAAGAAGAAGGAAGTATGAAAGGTAGTACAGAAAAAGCCCTTGACCAAGTAGAAGATTCAGCTTTTATTAAAATCAATGATGTTCAAGAAACAATGAAAAAACCTTCCTTCGATTATCCAAGTGAATATTATACTTTTGGCAATTTATTGTGTTTCTCTTGGTGGTTTTTGTTCATTTTAGCTCGAGTTTTATCTATAGCTATATTTTTCAAATTTTTCTCTTGGTATTTAATGGCTGTAATTGGTGTTCACTATGTAATAATGATTTCCTACTTGTTTTATTATTCTAAGTACAGCGACATCATGAGTCTTTTAATTAACTTATGGCTTGGATTAGTTTACATTTTTGGAATTATTGAATATAGAGTTAGACTCATGTATGCTGAAAGATGGATGATGTTTTACTATACATTTGTTATTTCTCAAAACATTTTTATGACTCTAAGCTGGTACTTCTATAGTGAATGGGAAGGACTTGGATACTTTTTTTCATTCAATCTCATATTTATATGTATGAGTTTGTGTGTTTTATCTACCATTTTTTATTACACATTGTTAAAACCAAAAGGACATAAAGTTTACATTACTTAAATGTTGAAAAACAAATCTGAACTTGATTTGAAAAGTGAAGTATTTTTCTTTTTAGAAAAACTCAAAAGGCAGCTAAAAATGTATTAAATAAAAAGACTGAAAGTATGATTTAGGATCTAATAAGTTTAAACAATTTTTATCGTAATAATTTATTAGATAATATATATCAAAAAATATATATTTAATAGAAATATAATATATGTACATCTCACTTTCCGACTAAAAATAGTAAAGTAGAATTAAATTTTAAAGAAGTTTTGCCTGAAAATATGACCATGTTATTATACTACATCTTTTAACGTAATAAATTGGCTAAAATTATTTCATTCAAAATATTTAGTTTTGAAACTAAGACACATTTTTAGGTGATTATTATAATTTATACAGTGAATGACAAAAAAATGTTTTGTATAAATTCCAAAAAACTATATGCTTAATACAAAAATATTATGTTTGGTCATACGTAGGTGAATATTTTTATGTGATAATTTATAACAATACTGTACATTAGTAAGTGATATATTACATGTATTGAAAAATATAAAAATAGTAATACATAAATGATAAAAAAGTTGTATCATTACAAATAAAAAAAAATTAATCACATTATAAATTACAATCATAATTTTGTCATATTGAATTATTTGAAATCCACAACATAACTCTTATATACGTAAAAATCCTAATTACGTAAAATGTTATCAATTTGTATCTTACACTTAAAACTAATATTTTTATAAAACATGGAGAAGAGCTTAATCAAAGTAATGAAAAGCACTCTTATAACTGTAGCAAAGAAGTCAATTGAAGAGTTCCCAATTGTGCTTGAAATAAAACATCATTTATTAGCTTCTCTGCGATAATTTTTTGACTACTTTTCATATTACGTAACTTGAAAGCTACATTTCTCCCAATAGCATCAAATTCATCATCTGTCACAACCGAACTATGTTGAGAGACCCTTATTTCATTATTGTCAAATTCTTCATTCCTTTTTTTTTTGAGTACTGGTTGCTCTATCCATTCTTCAGATTCATAATTGTCATCTTGTAGAGCCTGTCGTTCCTCCTGAAGTAAAAACAAAATAATTTAAAATTCAAGTTCTCAAAAAAAAATTAATTTTAACTCATATGAGGGTACTCTTACAATTTTCGTAAACTTTTTGGGTCGCATTTTTGCTCTGTTTATATCTGTGTTTCTTTCTGCAGGTTCAACAAAAATGGCAGTTGATCTTCTTTGATTGGATTTAGACTTTATTTTTTCCAATAAAAATGGATGCACTCTCTGAAAACATTTTATAATATAGAAAAAATTCATTCCTTTTAGATCTACAGAATTCTCATTTAATACCTTGATATGGCTCAGAAAATTCCCGGTGGATTTTAAATTTCCATTTAAAAATTTTTGACATTGTGTACATTTGGCAGTTACATTTGTTTCTTCTAGCCTGGTGACAACAAAGAATTCTCCATCCAAAATAGCTGGTATTCTAATAGGGGTCAAATTTGCAGAAGAAACAAGCGATACAGTTGTAGGGCCTTGTTCATCGTTAGTCGAATGCATTGCTGTACTTTCCGAATTCTCTTCAACATCTATTACATTAATCTCTTGAGTTTGAGGCCCATTATGTTCAGAATCATTAGTTTCTTGTTGATTTCCTCCGTCGATCAAGCAAGCTTCAAAGCTTTCAATTTTATCGTCGTATCTGATATTTTCCATGATTAATTAACGTCTGAAATAAATAAATGTATAATCTTACTCAACAATATAATGCAGTAGTAATTTTATTTTTAACATGATTAGTTCTAATACTATTATTAAAAATTTTCTTAAATTTGGAAACATAGATGAGATGATTATTAAATACCATTATGACTCTAATACATTCAAAATATTGTGACATTTCTGTGAAAAAACTTGTACAATATCTAATTAAATCAAAACTGTTTCACTTTAAAAGTACACTTTCAAAATGTTTTAATAAAGTAAGCGGAGATTTTGAATCTTCAAGCCAACAAAGTTAATCTCAATTTGACGAGTTACTTCTGAGCAAACGTCAAATCCAATTTGGCATTGTTTACACGATCGACGGGCACAAAGTTGATAAGGTAACACAAGTGCAATATAGTTTCTCGCGCTTTTTCAAACCGAGAGCTGTACGAAAAATTTGGTAATCTTATATCAAGCGTACGGCAACGTAAACGAGCTATAGATTCTATAACGAGGTTAGGATGACGCTCAGATGACGAGAAGGCCAATGGGCAATGGCGATGCCAAGTGCAGATAACTCGCCGCAGTATCTATCTTCGTCCGGGTCGAAACTATCTTTGTATATACATGTATCACGGGCGAATATAATCTCAATCGAAGACCATACCTATCCTTGCCTACGATGAGTTTGGAAAAGCTTTCCGCTGTAATCCGTTTCACTCGCAGATGAAAATTTGAAGTACTGCCGTGCACTGCAGGAGCCCCCGCAGTTGTGTCAGCTCGATCGTCGTCGCGTGTATGAAAAAGCAGACACGAACTGAACGATCCAAACGACATGCCGAACTCGATGTAACATAAATGTGTATTATAACACAGTCGCATTAACGCTCGATTTGTAATCTGTCAAATTGTACACTGATACCGCGACGCATACGTGATGGTACAATGTTTTTTTTTCGTACACTCGTAAACAATCATCTATTGTTGTACGTGTATTGCATATCTTCAATGCCAAGTGAGATCGACAACATTCATTGAACTCGGCAGAAGTCATTGAATAAAAGTATCGTCTGGTCGTCTTTCGTTCGAAAAATAAGAAAAAATTTACTTGAAAGATCGCTGCGATTTTTTCCGAGAATGTATTAAAGGCCAATTTCGTTTCATTTAAAGTGCCAGTGATACATTTAAACTATTTCTTCCTGTGACACGATGGTCGATTGTTGAAGTTTAGGTACGATCGACCGCCTTCTAAATAACAATTAGGTATGAAACATATGGTGTTGAATCGTGACATTCTTTTTTTTTTTTTTTTTTTTATTTGTTTTTTGTTATTGAGATGAGATTTTCACGGACCATCTCGTGGATGTGAAAGAGAAAAGCGACGGCGTTTGAATAGTTGCACAGTGCTGCCATTACTATCCCAAGCTACGAAAAGCCAACTAGGCTAAATTTTAACACCTGCGCTTGCTACATGTGTAGATGGAATTGGTGCCCGTGCCGTGTATTCGTGATGCTCGGGCCTATGTATAGCATCGTCGCTTGGCTCTAATCTTGTGTGCGTTACGGCACCGAGAAAAAAAGAACGGAGTGCGCGAGAGCGAGAGAGGGACCAGTAGGCAAATCTTGTCGCAGTGTTTACCGTGAATGTACAACAGTTTTTTCGTGTTGTATTTATTGAAATACACAGTAGTGCCAGTGTGATTATACGCGGTGAACGTGCCGAACGCACGTTCGTAAAGCGGCCACATCGATTCAGCAGCGGAGAGAGTCACGCTGTTGTGTGTGCCTGTCTCGCGATCGCGGGGGCAGAATAAAATAATAATTATAATAATAACGTAAACAAAGTTTTAAAGTCCCGTTCGCCATGTCCGCGGAAGTTGTCGACAGCGAGGCCGGCGTCGACCGGCTCGAGGACGAGCGCCAGTCGTCGCCCGGCGCCGAAAAACAGTGCCAACAGCAGCAAACGAGCGTCGTCGAGGAGCAGCTCGCTGCCGCTAGTCCTGCGGCCGAAGAAAAACAATCGGACAGCTCGAGTAGTCAGCAGGCCACATCGAGAAAGCGCGCGCACGAAGACAGCGAGCCCGTGCCGAAGAAAGTAGCTCGCACGGAACTGGACGACACCTCGAAGGTGAGCCGAGAGCCCTTCCAATGTCGGAGATTGTTTTGGACGATTCGCTATTGTTGTGTTGCTCCATGTGATAAGTGAGTTGAGACTAAATGACATTGATGATTTCAGGATTCAAACGTCCCTTCAGATCTATCCACAACTTCCAAAAACCGAGACAATGTTAATGCAACTGATTCAAATCAACATTCTGGACAGTCCACTGTGCCTGCCGACCACACAAACATTGTTGCCAGTCATTACAATCAACTGGAAGAAAAAGGTCTTTCTCAGAGAAATCAAAGCAGGATCATTCACATGAGAAATTTTAATAATTGGCTCAAGAGTACGCTTATCAGTGAGTGACAGTTTGTGATTGTTGCAGTGATTTTATTCTGTTTCTATATTTAAAAAATATGTATATTTTATTTCTAGAGGAGTACATTGATAAAACTAAGCAGAAGAAAAGCCTTAATGATCCTTTGAAAGTATTAGATATGTGCTGTGGTAAAGGTGGTGATTTGTACAAATGGAGGGATGGACACGTTACACACGTAATCTTTGCTGACATTGCTGCAGTATCTGTTGAACAATGTCAAGCTCGGTATAGGGACTTGGGCAACCGAAGATATCCTCCACTATATACTGCTGAATTTTTGGCCTACGACTGTACAAAGGTGAACTGAAATTTTATTTTGGATGATAAATTCTATTTTGAATTCATCACTTAAAATTAATTTTCCAAATAGAATATTTAACAGCTATTTTTTAGGTTCGACTAAGAGAAAAGTATAAGGATGTCACAGTGCAATTGGACTTAGTTAGTTGTCAATTTGCCTTTCATTATAGCTTTGAATCGCTACAACAAGCAGAATGTATGTTTAAAAATGCTAGCGAAAGTTTGAAGGCAGGTGGCTACTTCATTGGTACAATTCCAAATGCCTATGAATTAATGTAAGCTGTTTATATTATTCAAAACTTATCATCAACAGAACTTGAATACGAATCATCTCAAACCCCTTTTCTTTTAATCATAGGTCAAGGTACCATAAAGCTGATGGTAAAAAAATTGGCAATGATGTTTATAGCATTGTGTTTCAATTTGACAAAAATGATGTTCCTCTTTTTGGTGCAAAATACCATTTCCACTTAGAAGGTGTTGTTGATTGTCCAGAATTTCTTGTGTATCCACCAATGTTCGAAAAACTTGCTTGGAAATATGGTTTGGAATTGGTGATGTTTGAAAAGTAATATTTTATATTTATATATTTTTACCCTGTAGATCCTGGTAGTATATATTGTAATGTATTGTTAAATTTTATACTACAGGTTTGAAGATTATTATGAAAGACAGAAAAATGATGGCAAAACTCGACTAGGTAAAATGCAGGCTTTAGAGACTTATCCACCAAGTCAAGATGTTCCTTTAAGAGGAAAAGTACCAGAAGATTATCAACATGCTATTGAGTATATGCAAAGTTCCACTGGGCATCGTAAAATTGGAACTCTTTCTCAAGCCGAATGGGATGCTATAAGTATGTTGAATTTAATATCGAAATCAAAAAAACTATCAATAAAAAACTCATTCTAACATTTTTTTTCAGCATTATATTCTGTTTTTGCTTTTCAAAAGGCAAAAACCCACTGGAATGCTGAAGGAAAACCTGAATATATAAAAACTTAAAGCTAAACAATATTTGTTTGCTTTCTCAATTGTAAATGTAATTAATTAACTGCTAGCAAATTTGCTTGAATCAATTCTGTATAAATTTTTTGTTAAAATTGAATCGTTAGTATGAGTATGAATGAGTATGCTACTTGTACTGTTTTAAATGGATTATAATCATGTTTCTTTTTTCCACAAAATCAATCAATATTATGTGTGATTTCTACAACGCTTTTTATATACAAAAAATTAATTGTTTATAGTGACTTTCCATTTTGCTATGGAAGTAATGATTTGTTTTGTGTCTTTGTGATTTTGTATTGACTTTTTTTAATCAATTCAGCTTGACGGATAAATCATCTCGTCAATTTGTATATTTGTTTATACAAAAAATATAAAAAGTAAAAAATAACTGAGCTGTAAATTAAAATTATCTAACTACAGTCAATGTGATGTAATTTTCATTTTGAATATAAATTTTACCATCGTAGTTACCGGAGTAATTGGCTTCTTTTTTTCATCCGAAACAATTTGAAAACCATGCAGCGATTGATTTAGGAAAGAGCCATTCAAATTTTATTGCACATCCATTTTTACATTTAAGATATTATTTGGTGGAAATTTACCTTCAACATCAGATTACATTAGAATGCAAAAAATTGTAATTGGCATACTTTTGTAACCATCTCAACGAAACTATGTTTCTTTTGAATACTTTATGAGAAATTATAGTTGGCTACCAGTATTTCAAGTGCTATAAAATATTCTACTGTCTATAGAGCATTTACATGCCTCTACTTGAAGATCAATGTAAGCTGCATCAAAGAATAAATTTCTGGTGGTAGCTCAACTTTTTATTTTTATGCTTCAAAATTGATTGAAACTTGTTTATCGATGAAAAAAAAACAGTTGAATGGATTTTAAAAGCCCATGTTACTTTCTATCATAATTTTCGATAACGGAGCTTTCACCGCGAAACGAAAATCGAACGACAAGGGTTGAAGTCTCCAAAGCTTCACGCGAGATTTAAAAATTTTCCTCTCGATCCATCGAAGAAGTGCGAATAGCACGAATATAAAATGGGAAACCGGACGAACGAATTAATGAAAGCGAATCGCGCCAGTTCGGAGTTTTATTATCGGAGTTTTTTGGTGCGGCGCTTGCGGTTCACGCGGTGGCAGATCATCGTCGTCGTCGTCGTCATCGTCATTATATTACACTTTATATTCATACAAGAATCGAGATTGTGTACGGCCGTGGGTCCCTGGTGTTGTGTTGAATTGCGTGACTAAGATTCAAAGCATGCGCAATAGTAACTTTTCGAGAACTCCGGTATAGTTGCTGGCTGTGTTATAGTGCAGTGGCTGCGCTGGCGACGACGAGGCCGAGCGGCCATGCAACGTATATCCATATACAACATATATATATGTGTGTGCAAATGTTATATATATGCGGCAGCTCTCCCCCGGTCTCGTTTTCCGTTCCGCATGCGGCTCTAACCCATTGCTGCGAAGGATCCTACGTTCATGCATATATACGGTCGCAGGCAGCGCTGCACATATAGAAAGAAATTGTTAAGTCGGAGCCTATATACCGCGTAGTACATATACGAGGCGTAGAGTGAGAGAGACGAAAAAGGTATATATAGTAGTCGAGCGACGAGTAAGCGCGACAGAGCTACGAACGAGCGTACGCAGCATAGTAGTAGAAGGTATAGAGAGAGAACGAGAGGAGGGAGTGCGCGTCTCCGACTCTCTTTCGAAGCGTCAGTTCATTGGACTTGTAGCTTGTAGTGTCTCGGCGTTCGCGAAGACTCGCGGGGAAACAACGTTGAGGCACGCAAGCAAGCAGCACTGCCTGCATGGCAGTCGGAGTCTCTCTCGAATAGGACTTGTTCTTTTCTGGAGTCGGTCTCTCTCTCTCTCGAGTCTTTCGCAGTTTCGTTCGGTGCTTCGGCGTGCCGGTCCACTGTATACACTCGAATCGTCATTAGTATTACAATTATAATACATAATAATTTGTGTGAGTGACGAGACACGACTCTACGTTTAGATATACAGCGCGCGACGACGTGTGACGCGTCAAACGGGATATATACTTCACCTTTAAAACACACTACCCTAAACACATACAGAACACGTTGCGTCTTTTCTTCGCTTCTCGCATCCATCTCTCTGCTTCTTTCTCGTTGGCGAACAGAGACGCGGGCGTTACATATACAGTTGCATTTTCTCTCTCTATTAAAATCGGTCGAGCGTAGTCGAGAGGGTTAAAAATCCTCACTTACTACCCCGCGAGCGTCGGCTGCACTTGTACTGCACACACAGCACGCGGCGGCGTCGGCAGCTATCTAGTGTAAGCGCAGCGCATACATATATATAGAGAGAGAGTAAAAGACGACGAGAGAGTAGTCGTATAGTAGCTCTGCGCGTATACGCACGCATAGACGCACACGTACATAAGCGCAGACACATCCATATACCTCATATACACTTGCATACAGGCAGCAGAGGCTGTTGGATCGCTGCTGCTGCTGCTGCTGCTGCTGCTGCTGACAGAGCGCTGCACGCCACACGATCGCTCCTGAGTCTATCACCGAAGGTCGAGAAAAAATGGAGGTCGATCAAGCTGTTCCCCGGGTCGATATCGATCTGGTAAGTTGATATTTGCCTTAATCTCGCCTCGCTCTAAGCGATGACCCGGCCGGATTTTCCCGATCGAGCACCTGCGAGCATGATTACTCTTGGTCGGAGGTCGAAATTTTTCTAAGTCCCAAAATGGCGCCTGCGACTAAGTCCCTCGTGCACGGCTGTACAGTATAAGTACGAGACAGCGCGCAAGCTAGCGCTTGCAGTACACGAGCCTATTTATTTTCCACATGGAGAGGCTCTTCGTCTCGGAAAATTCCATCACCCCGCTTTTTATTATTATTTTTTTTTTGTTGTAATTTTTTTTATAATTTTCTTTTTACTCCTTTAAACCCCAATGATGCTCCAGTTGGTGAGTTTGAAAATTGCCCCAAATCCAGTACTGGCACCAGACTGAGCAATGCTCGCCTCTCCCTGTACCTGGATTTTATCTTGCTCTGACTTTTTTCATATGCTCATTTGCTTTGAGTTGTAAGACTGAATGTATTCATGTTTGTTTTCAGGACAAAAAAGCCAAGGAAAACAGCAGTGCTGCTGGCAATCATGGAGGTAAGAGCTTGTTGTTTTTTTCATTTCTAAATTGATAGATTCACAACATACATTGTATTTTAACGGAGACGTACATTATGAGGCCAATGTCTCAAAGCACCGCCTCCAAATTTGGAATTGACTTTATTTTATTGCTGTTAAGACAAGATTTTTATGTGCTTCTTTTGTATATTCCTTTATTCAAATTATATTTACATCATTTAAAAGAAAAACATACATGAATTGTAACAATATCTGCTTTTTCCAATTCAATAGTCAATATTTAATTATTAATGAAATTGAATAGTAGTTACACTTATAAATTTTTATATCAATAAATGCTTCGTAACATGTCCTGTAGAAATATTAATATAAGTAATAATTTGCTTTTCATTAATATTCAACCAACTTATAAGTAATATTATATATAGATTATAATTCATTAAAGAAATAATAAATATGTTTTTCTATATTTTTTCAATTTCTTGGCTTTATATGAACCAATTATTTTTGGTAATTATTTTTCACCTCCCATTTTTTTTTTATACATTTTAGATGCACAAATGAATGGTATGACAAATGGTTATGACCATAAAAAAGAACACAAATCTGAGCATAAGGATAGAGATAAAGAAAGGAGTCATAAGTCTGATCATAAAGATAAAGACAAAAGTAAGGATAAAGACAAGAGTCATAAAAGTGAACACCGTGACAAGGATCGAGAAAAAGATCGGCACAGACATAGTTCTAGTTCTCATAGAGACAAGGACAAAGAAAAGCATAGCAGCAGTAAGGATAAAGATAAGAGTAAAGAAAAAGATAAAGAAAAGAAAAGTAGTTCTTCTGGGCATAAAGAGCATAAGAGTTCAACCAAAGATAGGGAAAAGGAAAAGGAAAAAGAAAGAAGCAAAGACCATAAATCAAGCTCAAGTTCAAAAGACAAGTTAGTAAATTTACAATCAGTTTAATTAATTTCAATGCTTTATAATCTTTTATAAAATGATTTATAAATCTATTGTTATAGACATTCAAGTAGCTCAAAAGACAAAGACAAGGAGAAAAAGGATAAGGACAAACATAAAGATAGGCACAGTTCCTCTCACAGCTCTTCACGTGATAAAGATAAAAAGAAAGAAAAGAGCTCTGAAGACAAGAAACATTCCTTGGAAAAAGAACGTCATTCCACCTCTCATTCAGAAAAAGATAAACATCGATCTTCTGAAAAGGACAAAGAGAAACATCGACATGAAAAGGATCGGGATAAACATCGCCATGATAAAGATAAATGTATGTAATTGAAAAATTAACAAAATCAAAGATTTTGCTCCAAAAAAAATTAAACATTTTTTTTATCAACAGCTAAACATCGTGAAGAGAAAAAAGACAAAAATAGAGAGGACAAGAAAAAAAGTGAATCTGGAACAAAAGAACTTAATTCTTCCCAATCTGAGTTTGAAACAAAGCCAACTATTAAATCAGTAAGCATACATGAATTAATGTTACATTCAAAATAGTATATTACGTGACTAGGGAGCGAAAAACTGTAAAGCCTTAGAGCACGTGTAATTATCGTCCGAGGCGAAGCCGAGGCCTGAGGCTTTCTGTTTCGCTTCATCAGTGTGTATACTATTTTTCATGAATCCCCAGTCAGAAATTAACTTTTTCGTTTTGGCTGCCAGGACGAAAAGGTTAGTTTCGACTGGGGTAGCATGAAAAACAATCTTTATAACTTCCAACTAAGATCTATGATACAACAATGTAAATAATATTAATTACAGGAACCAGTATCATTCAGTCAAGAATTTGAAAGTGAAGATGATGTTCAACGTTCATTTACTACGGAACATAATGTTAAAACTGAAATCAGTATGGACACTTCTGACGCTAATGATACTAGACTGTCAGATATGCATAATACCACTATTAAATCTGAAGATAATTCTGACGAGGATGTACCATTGGTAATGCTAAAAGTATAATTCAAAAAATTCTATTGAATGTCACAATTTCTAATAAATGTCAATGTTTTATCATCGTTATTATTATCATCAGGCAAACCGTACATCTGGCGTAAAGAGAAAAGTAGAAAGCTCAGATGAAGAGGATATTCCCTTATCAGCGCGCAAAAAGCCCAAGAAAGAACCCAAAAAAGAGCCAATGAAAAAGAAGAGAAAGAAGGAAGAAAGCGAAGACGACGATTTTGATGAACCTGTAGAGGTACAAATTGAGAGCAAAATATTTTATTTTAAAAAAATATATTCTACTTAAACTTTTTTTTTCAGAAAACTAAGAAAAAGCATAAACCTAAAGTGAAAAATGAAACAAAACCAAGTCCGAAAAAGACTAAAAAAGAAAATGAAAATGAACCTGAAGTGTGGAAATGGTATGTAAAATTTACTATAATCGAATAATACATCTTATTTATTTGCTATTTGTTACTAAATTAATTTTTTTTTATTTAATAAGGTGGGAAGAAGAGAAGAAAGATGATGGCACTAAATGGAAGTTTTTAGAACACAAAGGACCTGTATTTGCCCCTGATTATGAACCTTTGCCCTCAAGTGTGAAATTTTATTACAATGGCAAAGAAATGAAGTTATCTACTGACACAGAAGAAGTTGCAACATTCTATGCTCGAATGTTAGAGCATGATTACACATCGAAGGCAATATTCAACGATAATTTCTTCCACGATTGGCGAGAAGTAATGACTGATTCCGAAAGAGCAAAAATTACTGACTTAAAAAAATGTAATTTCACAGAAATGCATAAATATTTCATTGCCAAGAGCGAAGAAAGAAAAGCTATGTCTAAAGAAGAAAAGAAAGCTATCAAAGAAAAGAACGAGGAAGTGATAAAAGAATATGGTATGTGTACTATTGACGGACACAAAGAGAAAATTGGAAATTTCAAAATTGAACCTCCAGGATTATTTAGAGGTAGAGGTGAACATCCAAAGATGGGTAAATTAAAGAGAAGAGTTAACCCTGAGGACGTGATTATTAATTGTTCCAAAGATTCTAAGTATCCTAAAGCCCCAGATGGTCGCAAATGGAAAGAAATCAGACACGATTCATCTGTCACATGGCTAGCATCATGGACCGAAAATGTTCAAGGACAAGTTAAATACGTTATGTTGAATCCTTCAAGTAAACTAAAAGGTGAGAAGGATTGGCAGAAGTATGAAACTGCTAGAAAGCTAGCTAAATCTGTAGATAAAATACGAGAGACTTATCGTGAAGACTGGAAGAGCAAAGAAATGCGTATTAGGCAAAGGGCTGTTGCACTATATTTCATTGACAAATTGGCTCTGAGAGCTGGTAATGAAAAAGATGAGGACCAAGCTGACACTGTTGGCTGTTGCTCTTTGCGGGTAGAACACATTCAGCTAGTAGAACATAAAGATGGAAAAGATTATGTAGTGATCTTTGATTTCTTAGGTAAGTTTATAATAATCGACTAAAAAAATTAGTTCCATAGAGTGTAATTTATTCTAATACAATCACGATGATTTTACAGGTAAAGATTCTATAAGATATTATAACGAGGTCCCGGTTGAGAAGCGTGTATTTAAAAGTTTACAGCTTTTCAAAGAAAATAAATCTCCTGGAGACGATCTTTTTGATAGATTAAATACAACAGTTATGAATAAACACTTGAACGAATTAATGGATGGCCTTACTGCAAAAGTATTCAGGACATTCAACGCATCCTCTACACTCCAACAACAATTAGATAAACTTACAAATCCTAATGATACTGTCGCCGAAAAAATTCTTTCTTACAACAGAGCTAATAGAGCTGTAGCGATATTATGTAACCATCAACGCGCAGTACCTAAAACTCACGAAAAGTCTATGGAAAATTTGAAGGCGAAGATCGACGCCAAGAGAGAAGCCATATCAGAAGCTGAAGCTGCAGTAAAATCGGCAAAACGCGATGCTAAAAACGGCTCAGTCAAGGAAAAAGTGTACGTTATTACGTTTAAAGTAATTTAATTGTAGCCTTTGTCTTTTGCTTTTATTTTTAATACATTTCATTAACTTTTTATATAGTGTGTATGAGAAGAAGAAAAAACAGTTGGATAGACTGAAGGAACAATTAACGAAATTAGAAGTTCAAGCCACTGATAGAGAAGAAAATAAAGAGATTGCACTTGGTACCAGTAAACTGAACTACCTCGACCCGCGAATCTCGGTTGCATGGTGAGCATTAGCATTAAAAATGATCTTTTTATTATAAATCCATAATCAATTATTAAATGGTTTCTCTTTTTTAAAGGTGTAAGAAGCACGATGTGCCAATAGAAAAAATTTATAATAAAACACAACGAGATAAATTCAGATGGGCAATAGATATGGCTGGTCCTGATTACGTCTTTTAAATTTCATGAATGGGAATAATACTATTCTACTCTTTAGTCAATTTTAATTTAGAATAAAAAAATGTCCGAAATTTTTCTTCATTAAAATTTTGAACGTGTGAGTAAATGATGTGCACAGGCTAGATAAAAAGTCATCCCGTTAATTATCTCGATAATTATCATGAAATATCATTAAAAATATTTAAATATTTTTTCGAAATAATAATTCCTTGTAAAGTGTTTGAAAAATTGCAAATGTCTTCAGTTTTTTTAGGCAAAAAATAATTAATATTAATTTATATGAATAGTGAATTAACGGTTTTAAAATTTAAGCATGTGAATTTGCTAAAAATGAATTTTAAAGATTTCATTCATTAAGTCATCACATGGAAAATTGGTGTAATTTTTTTGTTTTTGAATTCTTTTATTGCTAATTGATTTTTTAACCTTTAGTTAATTTTTTAGTAATATAAGTAATAGAGTTATGTATACTATTATAATCATTGCTCATTAAAATATTAAAATCGTTCTTAACTCTTTGAAATATGGTGCAGAATATCTAATGAGAAAATTTTTTACTTTTTTCCTGTATGAAAATGCTATTCAATTGTTCAAGAGTCGTAACATATACAATTATAAATTTTTGTCAATTGCCAGCACAAGCTCAATATAAGTTAAGAACATAATTTTTCCTCATTTTTAATACATAATTTTTGTTCGCATGTATTTAATTCATTAAAAACATTCACATCTTGAAATTGTATATATTCTATTCCATATATTGCCTCATTTAATTGTTTGATTTATCGAGAAATGAATCTTTGTATCACGATATTTTTATAATATCTGCAATAAATTATTAATTTAGAATGTTATAAGTAACTTAAATATTATTCCTTCTTAATTAATAAGTTTCAGTAAAGGAGATATCACTTGCATGAATAATATTCAGAATAATTTCAATTTTCATTGTTTTTCAATTTCATCAAAAATTATTGAAATCAATTTTCATTTTTGGAAATTAAAATCTAAGAAATTTAGAACTGATATGTAATTTAAAAATGTACACCTCACTTGTTAGGTTGAAAACAAAGTATTGCCCACAATTGTACTATAAAATAAATTTTATTCATAGGTAATTAGTTTCTATATGCACTTACCTGTGTTATAAATAGTTATCATTAAAATATTGTTTTATGTATTTAAACGTAAATTAAATTAGTGTAAAAAATTAATAATGTGAAAAAATAACATTTTCATTGAGAAATTCGAATTAAACAAAGTTAAATCATACCCATATGAAAATCATTAGTATATGATCAGATTTCATGAAATTATGCATACCTAACAATTTAGATTGAGCATTTTTATTAGTCCGACTTAAATGGGAAATAATAAAACGAGTAATTCTTCAAAAATACAAATATCTTTTTTAATATTGTACTAATGAATTACATTATGACCAAATATATGTTTTGTAATGTAATGATAGGCTGACATAATTAATTATGTTTATAAAAACATTAATGTTGAAACATAACATATACTATTCCTAAAAGAACAAACTGCCATTGTTTACAATTCGTATTATATGTATGACAGTACAGTATAATCGATTTGTATCAAATTTATATTTTTTTAATTGTACCAATTTCGTACCTGCTTATAACAAATTTGAACAAATAAACAAGAATTTCACATTTATATTAATCATTAGTCCATTCCTTTACTTATAAACGCTGAATTCAAATTTTCCTATTATAATAATATAAATTTGATAAAATCATAATCTGAATTCAAGTAAAAAGAAAGTTTTCATATTTCTAATTTATTTTCATTAAAAATAATACATTTTTAATACTAACTATAATTTTCATTAGTAAAAATCATATTAAAATTAGTATAACCATATAATAAATGAGAAACATCTCATTTATTAGTACAATTTGAGTTTGAAATATAATAAAAATGACTACATGAAAGTTTGAATCATCAATAAACCAACTCATGCTCTTATTGTAAAATCACAAACCATTTTTAGACTAGGTTTTTTTTTTAAAAATGATACAAAGTTTGCTAAATACATGTAAAAACATTGTTCACGAAAACTTTTACATTCAAAAATAAGAAAAAAGAAATAATTGAAAATTAAAACTCGATAGAAAAAAATTATAGTGATCGCTTTGAAAAACTTTCAATTAGTTACAACTGTAAAATAATCTTATTTACGACATAATAGTCACCTAAACAATATTTTTTAATCAAGGCTGCGAAAGACTTCTCTTCTGCCACAAACGAATTTATTAAAATTTATATTCAATGCAAAGTACAAAAGATGTTATGAAGTCGTCATTCAAATTTTTTACACTAAAAAGTACATTGAAAACTTAATACAGTTCATGTTAATGAAAATTCAGGAGGGTTCCTTTCCTCTAGGTCAATTATTGCTCTTAAACGTACAGGCGAAGTTCTGAATGATAATAATGATGCATATGGAAGAGTTAAAAATGATTGTGCAGTTACTTTTTTAACGTGGTAAGGTTTCAACATTTTTTTTGAATTTTTTTTCCAAAATTTCTATAAAAATAAATTTTCAAAATTAACCATTTATCTTATAATCTAGTATTTATTTATATAAATGAGAATAGTTTCATTAAATAATAATATTTTTTTTTTCTATGATTTTAATTTTGATATGAAAACAACTGAAGCTAAGTAAATACAAAAAATTCTTAATTATAACATAGTAAGAAAACAAAGAAGAAAAAAATTTCTCAATCATCTGTTATATTTTTATTTTTTAATTGCAATTCATGTGACTATTCTCATGTAATTTAAATTAAAAAAATTATTTACTTACACTTGTAAATAGTTCCATTATCTTATAAACTCATTTTATATTTTTATTCTGGATCATTTTCTAAGGTTTCACCAGCAGAAATGACTGTTACAAAGCCGGCAGCAACTACTTTTGCCTTGTATGCTTCCGGTTCGAACCAACAAATTGGTGCCTGAGAAATTTTAATTTTATAATCATTTCAAATAAAACAGTTTTCAAGTAAAATCGTTTACAGAAATGTAATAATTTAAGATATTTAAATTTTTACCTGTTGGATTCCTACAAGCAGCATTTAAAAAGCAGAATAATGCTCAATTATAGCCAAAATGTGTTTTGATTATATATTGCATGCATGTATTTATGGTATAAGAAAAAGTACTCAAGTACAAGAATGTATGTAATAAAATATTTTATATTTATTAAATGAAAAAATAATACAAAAAAAAGACAATTATGTACACTTACTTCAAGTTTAAGTTAAAATCTAAAGTAAAGCTTACTTTTTTATTTAGAATATTCTCTTTTATTGTATTGACTAATAACTCGAGTATGGATCATGTTATAAGCGTTTATTATAAGCGTGCAAGCATTAGTAAACAAAGCATACGTTTTCAAACTCAAAATTATTAGAATTATGTTCATAGTAGTGAACGCAAGTACGATTCTTTTTAATTATACAAACTTTTAGTATAATTTAAATTTTTTTAACTCAAACACAAAAAAATTTGATAAATCAACCAAGTAACCTTTTTTTACATTACATGTTACTCTCAGTAACAAATCTCGGTAATTGATCTTCTTATAAGAAGTAACTAATTTTCTTTTAAAAAAATATTCAAATATACATAGTGCTAGGAAGTAACATTCTAATTTCGAATTAATCTATTAAATTTAGCAACATCTATAGTTGGTCTAACATAAGAATTGTAAGAATTAATTTTGTGGAAATTTTGAAAGTATCCATACCCAAAATCGGTTACGGGGTAATCATTTTTATACACGTATGTTGGTGAACATGGAATATCTCTATGTGTATCAAATGATTTAAAATTGTTTTCATGTCTAGGCACGGTTTTCTCAAAAACATTTTCTGTCCTTTGTGTATCAAAAAATTTGAAATGGTTATTGTATGTAGGTACAGGTTTATCAAAAATATTATCTCTTCTTTCTTTTGACCACAATTTTTGTTGCTTAATAAAATTTTCAAAGTTACAATACTTTTTATCAGTTTCACTACTATCAACATTTTGCGTATTTGATCCTTCATTGTTCGTTACATTTTTAATTCCAAACTTAGTTTCATTTTTATAAGTATCAATGTTAATATTATTTTTTATACCCTGTACCTTGCGACAAATTGCAGGACATTCTCTTTGAATTCGTTCCCAATCAGCTGGAGGATGCCTAGCAAACGGACCTTTAGCACATTGCATCAAAAATTCATAAGACAGTTCTCTTGTTAAATCTGCAAAAATTAACATCAGGTAGATCGCACAAATTTAACACAGCTCAATAGCGATTTACAATGGTAATCTTACCTTTTTTTTTAGTTTCAATTTCAGAGTTGAAAGCTTCTTTCATTTTGGTTTTTTCAGTTTCTAACGATGTATTCTCAAAATTTATCTTCTTTCTTGACATATTGGTCTGACCTGCAGACATTGGGCTATGAGTAGTACTTGGAGTGATTGGAGTGTAGGGTAATTCTTCTTCAAAAGAAAAGTAATCATTTCCACTTCCAATGTGTTCTGATTCTTCAGAAAAGTATTCATCCAGTACCAATTTAGCAGCCTAATAATAAGATTCTTAGCTTAGTAATTTTTGATAATAAGAGAAGATCTTGACTTTGAAAACAATTGTAAACAAAGATACTCACTCGTACAAGATCCAAGTTTGTTCCAGTAATCTTCAAAGAATGGGGCCCAACAGTAACAGTATATTTATATTCACCAATACTGGCATCATTGGTTGATAAGCTATGTAATAGAGAGCGTTTTTGCTGAAATCTATTACTTTCATCCGAAGCACTACTGTTAAGAGATGAACTTGATCCTCCAATTGCACTCTTTTCTTGACTTGCTTGATCCATTCGCACAGGTGATGCATTCCGTTGAATAGTTTCTTTGATTAAATCTTTGGCGTAGCTGAAATGAATAAAATTTATCATTTGCATTCATAAATATAAAAATATATGAGGTGATTGAAAATTAACATAATTAACATACTGTATTTTGTCTTCTGAAAGACCAGTTATTTGAACAAGGCGCTCCTTTGCCCCAGGATTAACTATAAAAATAATTTAAAATTACAAAGAGTGAGCTATTATAAAAACAGAAGTTGAATCAAAAATTAATGGATAGTTCATTCAATTTAGTATTTATTTGAGTCTAACTCAAGAAATAGTTATTTTAAGTTAAACACCTGATAAATCAATATTCAAGTGGAAAAATGATTCATCAGGAATATTAAACGTCATGCTGGGAAAGTTAAATATTGTGTGTTAAATTGAAACTTAGTGTAAGAGGTATTCTGAATATAAATATAAGAAAATCTAGTAATTAATAGTAAATAATGTAGCATATAATAGAGCATTATTTCATTTTTAATAAAACTTGGATGGATTTTAAATCTGTTAGAAAACTTCTGTTAATTTTATTATATAATATGCAAAAAATTGTTAATAAATCTAGCCATTTTTGGCACGTCTCATTATTTCAACTTTACCTCTCTGGAAGGAGATGATAGTTTCACTAAGTTCCTCAATCATATGAACTCGACGCCCTTTTATTCCCATCACTAGATTTTTATGTAATTTTACAGTATATAAATATTGAAAATTACTTTTACCCAAAAGAAATATAAAATACAAGCCAATAACCAACGAATCAAGAATGTATTCAAGGGCATCCGACTTATTCATTGTTTTGCCATTAAATCATTACATAATTCAGTGAAAAAATCTTACCTTTTCCAGAATCACTATTTCTGATGACTACTTCATCTTTGCAAAAATGTTTTCCTTGGATGCGAGTCGGTTTTGCAAATTTCCCACTATTCTTCATAACGTCACCCGGTCCAAGCAATGGTGGTGAAGTAGAAGTCATGGGCGTCATGGATGGTGTTAAGGGATGATTTTCATAAGTCATCATTTCGTTTTGCTAAAATATGTGAAATTGGAAAATAGTTCAAATGTATGGTTTACTTGCCATTAATTAAAATTCTATTTAACTCACATTGTCCAAGTTCGATAACTTTTGAGAATAGTAGGCATTCATAGATTCATTGCGTTGCCATTGTTTGGCCCTGAGTTCGATCAACTCCAACAAATGCACTCTTGTTGATATATCTAATCTGTCATCTTGACTACCGTTTCTTATAGCTACAAAAGCTCTATCAAGCTGATCTGTAAAGAATACGAAATATGAGTGAAAAGAGCAATTTGACGTGAAATGAATACAGTAGCTTAAATTACCTTTGTAAATCATTTCTAGATCATGAGAATAGAGCTTCAAATGATTACCCATTGTTACAATGTTCGATTGTAACGATTGGTCGTAGAATCCGCTGCGAAGTTGAGACGCGACGTTGTCGATCAGCGCAACAATATCATCAACTGCATACATAAAACGAACAATCGAAATTCAAATTCAATCGTTGAACCCAACTGATAATAATTCCACTTGTTGCTGTGGATCAAGTATGAAAAAAAAAAAAAACAAACCAGAGATTCTCGTTTCGGTCGTTGGGCTTCGCTGGCTGATTTTCAGAGGTCGAGGCTTCTCCAGCTTCTTGATCGTTCGTGGTCGGTTAGCCGTGGTTGCCATTGTGAATTGTCTGTAGCGAGAAAATCGACACGTTGTTATTAGAACGCAGAGACGTGCACGAACGCGCATAAAAAAAAAAAGTTGTTCGAAATTCAAAACAAAGGCCCAGCACCGAAGGACATCGGTGGAGAGATAGAGAGACTCGCGAGGGTAAAATCGCTTCGCTTAAAAATCGTAGCGCGCTAACTAATCAGTGTTGCTCGATTGTGTTGTGCTATGTGCGTGCGCGCGTGTGTGTGAGTGCGTCCATAACAATACTCGCGCGGACTGTTTACTTCGGTTTGTAATAACACACGAGTTAAATCACGAGAAATCGTGTCGCACGCCTCTCTCTCTCTCTCTCTCTCGACAAAGGATGAAATACGACTATTTTGGATTCTTAGAAATGGCAATAGACGACGATCATCGACACAATTTGCAATTTACAATACTGTGATCGACATAATTCGGACTCGCGCGCGCGAGAAGAGCATCACATCCAGCACCGGACAATCGGAGTTAATTATCGGACCCAGTATTTTCGTTGTTTCTTACTTTGATTTTCAGAAGTTTTCCGAGCCAATTTTGAAACGACGGCAGACGAATTTTTTTTTCTTATTATGTACACACACTCGCGCCGAGTCAACCAACGAACGAGACAGAGCCAACTCCTGAACGCGGGGCTGATTGATCCACTTTTGTCTCGAAAATGTTCTTTCGAAGCTCAAGAACCACGCGAACGACGGAAATTTCAACTACTCTTTTTAATTGACAAGTATATATACGATGCGAATCGTAAAACCGGCGATGATATATTTACAAACGCGCGCGTGCAGCTACGTGATTCTCGGTCAACGGTAGACGATGAACTGACTCTGTAAGCACCGAGTACAGCTCGGCTATTTAATTCGAAAATATGGTACGCACGCAAAAACAAAGGAGCAGCTCTGGGGCATCTCGTAATAATTTTGTAAACACACGACGAGCTCGGACGAACACGCTGGAGCTCACGCGATAAGACGCGGCGAGCTTAACGCAGGAGTCGTCGTCGTCGTCGTCCGGCGGGATATCGAGATTCGAAAATGTGCGCGCGCTCGCGCGGGGCACTCGAGGCGCCGCGACGTATTACGCACCTGCTGCAGCGGCATCGCAGCGCGCACACTGCAGCTTCCAAAGACGAAAAAAGTCACTATATATATTGTAGAGTGCACGCGCGAGAGATGCTTTCGAGAAAGGGAGAGAAAGAGACGAGAGCTTTCGGAGTTCGGGTTGATGCATCGCGCGTCTCGCTCGACTCGTACTTTTTGCGAGTAAGAGATAGGCACCGTTGAACGAACTGACAATAGAGGAATAATTCCAGTTCTCTGGCTGTTATACGCGCACTACAATCTATCCTTGCGAAGAAGCAAAAAAAAAAAAAAAAGGAAACAAAACAAAACAATGCGAAATTCCATCGCGCGCCTCGGAATGTCCGCACTTATGTAAGGAGTCATTGTACTGTAAATCGAATGAAAAACGAACCGCAGCGGTCTCGGAGCACTGTACAAGAGCGACGGAGCTTCGAAATTGTATATTCTGCACTCGCTGTTAATTAATATATAAGCTCGTATACGACGAGACATTCGTTCATGTTTTACATGTTTATAACATAACGAGAGAGCTCGTCTGCACAAGTCGGTCGAATTATTAAGTAATCGCGCGGGGGCGGCGGCGGCGGCACAGTAAGGCGGACTCGCTTGCGCATGCAATAATAACAAACACGCACACACACAACGCGGCAATTGTGCGCACGTCTGCACCTGCAACAACAGCAGAAAGCAAATGTTAAAGAGTTGCCCCCGCGGCGCGCGACCGATAATCAGCTGCGGCGCAGCAACACGCGCTGCATATACATATATCATCGTGTAATTGTATGTACTTCTTCGAGACTCGCATCGCACGGGCGGCACTCTCGCTCGTATATATAGCCTATAGCATGTCTCCATGTCCAAGAGCATCGGGACTTTCACGCACTTTCGCATAATATCACGACGTGCTGCACTTCGTCTAATGCACGAGCCGCACAGCTCTATGCATTCTCTATGGCAGAGCTACTGTGCGTACGCGCGCGTGTGTGTGTGTGTGCGCGGGGAAACCTTGTATGCCTGCCTGCACAGTCCCCTGATCTCGAAAGCACACAAGTTCGTGCGTGCATCGAGAGAGAGAGAGACGCGCGACAGCTATGCGATCGCCTATATAAAATAAAACACAATGTATGTGTATATCTGCTGCACACCTACGCTCGCTGTGTAGGCTAGCGAGCGAGTATAATATACACAATGATATTTATTGTATGCGATAATGACGACGAGCTTCGACGGTGTCTCATATACTTATAATATGCGCGTTCGCTGCTGCTCGATGAATCACTAATAATGTACAGCTTATTTAGCGAACAAATTTAAAAACTTGGAGCGAAAGGAAAAAAACAAATTATCTCGACAAAGAGAGAGAAAGAGAGAGAGAGAGAGAACTCTCGGCCCGTGTAAATTACTCGGACGTTATTCATAGAACAAAATACACAAGGCAGCAGCACGCTCGCGCGCACCACTTTTTCACTTCGCGCACCAACAAAAACTTCAACTATCACATCACACACGCAGAGCGAGCGACGTGCTACCTATATATACAATATAAATACACACGATGTATGTACCTATAGATATTCACTCGGAGCGCGAACTGCAACACAACGCACATATACACACACGCGCGCGCGCACGTATACACGTATATATTTGTGTATTGGAATTCGGATGTGCACTGTTTTAGAAACGAAAAGCGAGGAGAGCTCTTCATAGAGAGAGGCAGCATCAGCAGAGGAGAAAGAGAAAAGACGATCGCCACTTTCTGCGTGCATTTCCCGTTGAGAGCAGAGAGCTTACATTATGCGTTAATAGTAATCTAATGATATTATGTATGGTTTTTATTTGTACCTTAAATAAGTCGTGTTCGATGTCGCTGCTTCGAAAGCTCGTTTTTTTATATATATATAATTATTTTATTAATATATATATAGTGCTACGTGTAAAAACAATACGTGCGCGACCGAAAAAAAAGCAACAAAAAAGTGACACACACGTATATATATTGTATCGCAGGTCGTTCGTTTTTCGCGAGTCGATGTGCAGAGAGCGAGAGAGAGAGAAAATGAAAATGAAAATGAAAATAGTAGTACAAATGAAAGTGAGAGAGAGAGAGAGTGTCGAAAGAAGAGAGCGTCGAGTAATGTGGTAGCCGCGGAAAAGCCTCGCCTCTTGTGTTTTTTTCGATATATATAATGGCCAAGTTATATTTCAGCAAAAATCAGCCAGCATCCACCACGGGCGCGCGCGCGCTTTATTATATATAAATAATGGCAACGACGGTGGAGCTCTCTCTCTCGGCTCTGCTGCACACACACTGAGAGTCTCGCTCGTCTCGTGCTGTGTACTCTATTAGAACGCGCAACTCTCGCTCTCTCGTCGTCGTCGTCGGCGGCCGAATGCTCGAACTGGGATGCGCGCCGCGCGAATATTATATATGTGTGCCGTGCCGTGCAGTGCTACTGGTGCTGCACACACACACACACACACACACTAGCTCAGCCCCCCGCAGTCGCGCCAATCTTGCAATCTAAAGTAACGCGCGCGTGTGTATGTGGACGTATAAAGTTTGCACTTGCGCTCGTGTGTATACACTTGCGTATGTGCGGCACCCACCTATTTGTTATCGCGTGTGTATTGTGTGTACGCGTGCCGTATATATATGGGTCAGATTCAGAATTTTTCAAATAAACCTGCGGGCGAGGTTCACGGATTTTCCTGAAATTTTGGTATGTTATAGTACATGATAAAAAAGTGCCAAAACCAAAATTTTGGACCCCCTCCCCCCTCCTACCCCCCTCCTCCCCTATAGACGTCCATTTTCTATCTATATTTTTTCTGAAGGCCTGAAGCTATTAAAAAATCTGAAAAAATTCATGAAGGTACTTTTCAACAATCC